TAACTTTAAAAAAGCATCCAAGGTTGTTAGTAATCAGACATTATTTAAAAGTAATTATGAACAACCGATACTCCATATCTTAAATTGCTACCAACTCTACCGGTTGAAAGATTTTATTTTTAAATTCAAAGTGGAGTCTAACTAATTAAATTTTATTCCTGATTAAATAAAATTGAATCAAAATGATTTTTACAATCATTATCGATATTAGTAAAAGGAAGAGATGGTGCTCTTAGAACTTCAGTCATTTGTCCAGGTTCCTGAAATAAAAAACAGAGGGTGCAAATCTAAAATTAGATTCCATTATACAGGGTCATTCATAATTCCCTCCGGTGTTTCGAAGCGTTATAGTAAAAATACGAAGACGACTATGGCAAAAAAGAACATATGAAATTATTCCGAAAGTATAAAAGTTTTAATTTAAGCAGTTGCCGGTAGATGGCAGTAAAGTTTTCATATTCGTCTTCTTTTTTTTACTATGACGCTTCGAAACCCCGGAGGGAATTATGAATAACCCTGTATATATATATATGAAATGTTTGTAAAGCAAAAATAATGAAGTAAAAGCTTTTATTAATTTCGGAGGACCATAAAAAGTAGCCATTCTATTATTGACGTCAATGATGTTTAATTAATATTGGTAATAGGTACTGCTGGTATCAGGGAAAGAGGTACTGTTTTAATTGTTTTCAAACATACTAAAAAAAGGTATTGTGGTAATAGGTTTTTACGCTTTCCTTAAGAGAATTTCCTAAATTAAAATTCTTTTTTTCAAACGGAAAATACTTAACGAAGAAACACCACTTAAGTCTGAAATCATTTGTTTAATATCTTTTTTAGACTTTTCTGAACCAGTTTCAGCCACGTAAAAACAATCAAGCTGTATAGCATCACCTGATAATTAAGATTTTTACATAGAATCTTACAGTGCGTCTAATAATCTGGACCAGGGACTGTAAGTCGGATGTTATCACTCATAAACTGGACCACAATTTGCAACACTAAATATAAAAATCGTTTGCAAGATTCATGTCATTACAAAAATTGTATTTTACAATTTGTAAAGAAACCAACAGATAAATTCAAATAGATAAATTGATTCACTAGAAATCCCTAAGAATAAAAATATTGTTAAACTCAGAACTATCTTAACTCCTTTCAATCATTTTAAAGGATAAATTCCTCAAAGAAATGCAAATCCGCGAGAAGGAAGTATATTTATCTTTATGAAAGTCTTTTACTATCTGTAAGAAAAATTTGGTTTGTTCAAGAACGAATCATGTTTACATTGCTGTAAAAGTATAAAACATTGCTATAAAAGATCTTTAGCCAGTTTATAAAGACACATATGGGGGGTTTCAACAATTCAAATCAATTTGAGGTCCTTCACATTACTGTTTCAGTACCGGAAAGTTTATTTTTCTAAAAGAAATAAAAATTTTTCCATCTAATCATAGAAAAGTCATTACATCCATTTTTATAAACAAGATTCGGTCTTATGCAATGCTTTGATTTCCAATGAATTCAATTGTTTGCAGGAACTACTTTTCCGAAGAACATAAAGATTCTAGAAAGAATGTAAAACAAATAGTCGTTTGTGTATGGTTTATTAGTTGTGAAGGTTTCAAATTTCGTAAGCTAATTCGAAATGCAACTTAACTAAATAAACAGCTTGAGGAGGAAAGTAATAAAAAACATTTGCTAATAAGTCACGAGGATTAATTTTTTTCAAATTATATTTTTGCCATACAGATTTTTAACAATAATACAATTGATTATTGGTCTAGAGTTATTGGTGAAAAAGTTAGCTGTAGTTTAGTTGTATAGCACCTACTACTTGGTTTATAAATTGAATTGAATGTAGAGTTTAATGGCACAAAGTCCTAAAGTAGATATTTAATAAAAAGTAGTAATTTAATATAAAGTAGAGATTGAAAGAGTCTTTCCATATTCGTACTTTGAATAGATCTACAAGTTAGAATCCAACACGGTGCGCCTTAACTAAAATTAAATAAAATGCTCTTACACCTAGAAATTTAGAAGAGATTCCGAATTTACAATGTTCTTTGATAATAAAAATCGAAAAATTAAAATAATTTGTGGAGAGATTTTTTAAAAAATCCCCTTTGAACATTTTTGCTCACGAAGTACGATATTTCAAAAATGTGAGCATCATTTTATACTTATAAATAGAAAAAAAACATTTGTATTAAATATTCATAATAACCGTTTATAATAAATTTTATAATTATTAGAAGTTTTTTTAATTGTTAATTATAATCGATGAACCACTATTTAAAAAACAAAAATAATAAAAATTTAAATCGACTTTAGCAACACAAGCGCTGTGAAATTAACACAAACACTGTGACTTTAAAAATGGCAGCTTCCATTCGTGTGTGTACACAAAGTAGAAAAGCAATTGAACCAGGATAGAAAACAAAACTTAATATCACAGCTCATTCTGTCGACGATTATTTTGATTTTAAGGAATTTCCTTTCGCTTGTATAAAAGGCGATGAAGTCTCGGATGCTCCTGCTCTTGGAGTTTACTGCAAAGATGTTCCTGCTTTTGTTCAGTATGTGAAAAATAAAAGAGATGTACTGGATGTTCACTTAAAAATGGGTATTGATGGAGGAGGTGGATTTTTAAAAATGTCTTTCTGTACAATCAAATGAGTTGGACTTCGAGTGCAGCGGTAAGCGTGTTAAGTATGATGAGGGGATAGCTGCAAGGAAATTTAAGGATTCTGGCGTTAAACGACTATTCATTCTAACAGCCGTTCCTAGTGCAAAAGAAAATTATAAGAACGTAGATCAACTCATTTCAACGTTGAATATAAGTCCTTTCCACGGCACAATTGCAACCGATTTGAAGTTAGCGAATATCTTAGAAGGTATAATGTCGCTCAGCAGCGCATACCCATGCACTTATTGTTATGCCAAGAAAGATGAGCTAAGCAGCTGTGGCGAATTGAGATCCCCCGAAAATGTTTCATCGTATTATACAAGTTGGCTGACTGAAGGAAAAGGTTCAATAAACAAAGCGAAAGATTATTTCAATTGCATTCATCCATCGCTAATTGCAACTGTTGGAGGCAAAACATTCCTAGACATTATTACACCGCCAGAATTACACCTTATGCTTGGTGTTGTTAACACTGTTTTCACGCATATGTTGAAAGAGTGTGGAAATGAATCGCTGATATGGACAAAAGCTTATCACGTTCAGCATGAAATCAGACGAGGATGTTCTGGGTTTAAAGGAAATGCATGCAAAACACTTTTGGATAAAGAAGAACTTCTGCACCAGTTTAAAAATCTATCAATACTGAAGTACGTTAAAGTATTTGACGACTTCAAAAAAGTGGTTTCTGGATGCTTCGGAAATAACCTTGACCAAAATTACAAAGCATGTATAAAAGCTTTCAAAAAGAGCTACATGGACTTAGGTGTCAGCGTTACACCAGAGGTTCGTGCAGTTTTTTTTCACATTGAACAGTTCTGTGACAAAAACGGTGAAGGATTAGCATTTTTTGGGGAGCAGGCGATGGAGTCCGTACATTTTGATTTTTTAAAGTCTTCCTGGGAAATTAATAAGGTTGCTGCAAGTCACCCGGATTATTCTAAACACCTTTCGAGCGCTGTTTGTAGATATAATGCTTCACATGTTTAAATTGGCATAATTATAATTAAATTATGTTACATTTTCAAATTTTATCAGCAGTAAAATGTTTAAATAATAAAAGTTTAATAGAATTACAACTGAAAAATCATTATTACATCATTTTTTTCCATAAAACAACGCGAAATTTTCCAAAATATCATACTTCGTGAGCAAAAATGTTCAAAGTGGATTTTTTTAACAATTTCTTCACAGATTATTTTGATTTTTATTATCTTTTGACATTGTAAATTCAGAATCTCTTCCAATTTTCTAGGTCTAAGAGCATTTTATTTAACTTTGGTTAAGGGGCACCGTGCCAAGTCTCTGCTCCATAAGTAAACGCAGGTAATACACTTAGATAGAAAACTTTTCTTTCTAACACAGAGCGGCATATTACTTTTTAGTATGATGCCATTTTTGCCAAACAAAAACTCTGATTTTTATTCTTCTGTTAGCTCCATGCATGATGTTGTTATTCATTAAATGTCTTTTTAGTATGAGTAAATGTTATCGTAAGGAGGTTTATTTCTAATTAATAGAGTCGATAGTTGTTCATAACTATGAAAATGGTATTGTCACTGAAATTTAATTTTGAAGTATTGGGTCTGAATGTGCTTAACAAAACATTAAAAAAAAATTCTTATCGAAAAAGTAAAAAAGAATTTAATAATATTTTTACATATGAATTGGTGAAAACTTGAGGTAGAATTATAGCAATTTTTTTGGAATATTACTTTATTTTCACATGAACTCTTTCTTGAACCAAATATTTAATATCAAGAAAATACTATAATTAATGAGTTTTGTATAACAAAAGATTTTCTGTTAGAAGAGTAACTAAACAAAAATTGGATTAGTATTTCACTCAACAAACTTTTTTAAAAAAAAATAGTTTGCTTTGAATTGTCTCAAAACGCAAAAATAAAAGGATAAATATCCATAAATTAAAACTTTTGATAGAAGTTTGTAATAATTTGTTGAGTTTGCTTAAAATACAATACAAATGAGTTCACCCTGAGAAAATAATTTATATTATATGTGCTTTTATTAATTGGCCTTTTTAAAACAGCACTTTTCATTGTCTAGTAATAAAACCAGGAATAAATTATTAACATTTTACCGATCGGCAGCAAATCCTTTTTGTTTCGGTTAAATTTATACTGTTGCGAGGGAGTATCTGTGCTGTTAATAATAGATAATTTTAGTTAATAAAAATCTTTCATTTTCATGACATTAAGGACAAACTATATTTACTTTTTAATCGACAGAAATAGGTTACTGGTCTGTTACAATGCTAAAAATTATGTTTTTTTGATATTATTATTTTACTTAGGTTTTGGAAATACCCCTTGGACATTCGTCTCAAGTTGTAAAAAGAAGGAAAGGGCCTACTCTTTCTGTAGTTAACCCATTGGAGATTCTCCGCCAACGCCTGATGTTGGATTTGGCTAGAAGACGAATTCACGAGAACCAGCAGCAAATTGTAGCCAATGCCCAAATGTTAGAGAGTATCGGAAAAAGAAGCGTACGACGATCAGACGAATTTGCAAATCTAGGGAGTGATAAGAATTATCAACCTTGAATGCACATCGTGAATTGGAGTCCTATAGGAAGATGGTAAATCCTTCTTCTTTTTTTTAATTACTTTTTTTTACATCAGATACACATAGATTTTCTACGTTATTGATATGTCCCCTGTTGTTGTCTTTTGCCACTTGTCAATACTGACAAGCCTTTTAAGGCAGAGGGGTGTGCTTCTTGTTTTTCAGTGGCGCCATCTATGACCAAATATTCGACCTCTGCCACACACATACGTCACAACACGTTTCACAGGGAGGACACTGGAATGAATGATAAAAATGTGTTTTTCTAATTTTTTGCCCAAACAGGAAAAAAAGATGTACAACTGAATTTCATCTTCGAATCAATCACATGAGAACGGACAAAAATCTGGTAAAATTGTGTGAAATGAAACTTAATTCATTGTTCGGAAAACGTCGTGAGAAGAAATTAGTTTATGAAATTCCCGTCACAAAATTTTGAGAGCTCTGACATTTGCTTCGGTGCTATTCTTAATTGTCCAAAACTTACATCTAAAAATTAATAAAATTCAATTGAATGTAAGGCTAAATGACACTAGCTTCTAAAAAAGAACACGCTGCTCCTAACAAACGGTTCTAACACGTTTGTTAATTATTCACACATTGCACGACGGAATATTCTTTTCAACTGTTTGTATCAATAAATTTAAAAACTTAAGTGGTAGCTGAAATAAAATTAATTTTGATTTTATCTTTATAAATTATCACTCTTCAATGATATAATATAAACACCTGCACTAGGCAAGCAATAAACATGTTAAAATAGTCAAATTGTTCAATAGGTAAATTATTTCTTTTTAAAATTCAAACAGAATTAAATATATTGTGAACAAAATGACACAGTATTTAGTTTAGAAATTTTAATTTTCAAAATACCACGTGGAGTTCCGGGATAATATATTATCTTATGTGCATTTTTAGAAAATTTTCAAAAATACGAATAAAAATTATACACATTGGAGGTAAGAAATTAATATTTATGCGAGGAAAAAACAAAAACGTGCTCGTAATCTGCCGAATCAGTATCAATGAAAGTGGGACGAAAATCTTAAACAATTTTATCATTCGATTTTAAGCACCTTGGTTAATGAAACAGGGTTTAATGTTCTCAGTACCGCTTTCCTCAGTAATGGTTCAATAGATTCGAATAGTGTGTTTTTATCTTTTCTTCGCTTAGGAAATAAGTTATATAACTGCGATCAATGTGCATAATTTTTTCCCTTTAATTTTGACAAAAAATCAAAAAATAAAGATTGATGACGAAGGTAATGTAACATCCTTAATACATATATTAAAGTTAACAGTAAAGAACTTATTAAAGCTAAGTTTTTAGACTTCTAAAATTTCAAATGTATGTTGTGAGGTGCAAAATTTTATATTTATTTGCTAAAGTAAATAATAATTTTATGTCATTCAATCATTCGTATTAAACAGGTTAAAAAAAAACATGTTTAATGCAGCAGACATCTTCTTTTTCATAGAATGCTTTTGATAATAATAATATTGAATAATGATTCCCAATTTTAAAAAGAAACCTTTCATAATTATTTTTAAAATAATCACAAAATTATCTCCAATTAATCACAAAATTAACTTATAATTCGTTTTATTTTTAAAAAGACCTCGTTTCGAAAAACTCAAATAAGAAAGGCAAAATAAAGCATTTATAATCAACGCTATAATTTTCATTGAAAAAAAATAATGAAACTAAAGAAAAAAATATATTATTTAAGTAAATGTTTAACTTTGGTATCAAATCATACGCTAATTAAAGTGGTTAAATATAAGAAACAAATGAAAGATATCCTATTATTTAAGAATAAACTTATTTTTTTAACATTTCCCATCAGACTTAGAAAAAGAAGACAAAAATAATATTTCTTTCTCAAAAATTGAGTTGATCAAAAAAATGTTACCTCGAGGTTAAGTAATATTAGCAATAAGTTGAATTCCAGCAAATAGTCTAAATTTCGTAAAAATCAAACATTTCCCGATTTCAACTTTTTGTCTTAAGGTAAGAATCAAATGAAATTTAATTTGTGAAACGTCTACTTCGGTAAGAATAAAATTTTTATTTCTTTATAATTCTGTAAAAAATATCGGAAGGTATTTCTATATTTTCTATTAGATTATGAGACAGAAAAGATTGATGTTTGAGGTATTAAAGACAAAATAAAAATTGGAAATTGAAGAACTAACAAAAATATACTATATATTTTCTTTATTAAATTATAATACAGAAAAATTATAAATAATATAAAAAATATATAATAATTTGATACCTGCAAGCGACGTCATGCGTGGGTCCACCAATCAGGTTCGATAAACAAGCGTGACGACGCATGCAAGCATCCAATCTGACCCAAAAACTGATTCAGCGTATTATTAAACCGAAACTTTAAACCTATAACGTTAACACGTCACGTGATTGGTTGCAAGTGCCCAATCGTTTTTTAAAAGTATGTAAGCGCTATTTGTTAAAACAGATAAATGTTTTCGAGTTAGATTAAAAATGCGCTTATGAGAACCTGTTACTGACTATTTAGCGGACATTAACATGAACTAAAGAAAATACATCACGCTTGCAGACGCAAGTGCAGTTGCAAGACACAGACTTCTGCCCCATTCCTTCAGGAAACCCCTCATTACTGACTTTGATTGTCCCAGAATCTTAACATCAACAATTACAAGACTAAGAACAAACCACTTTAAAGGGATGAAAATTCTTCCCGACAAAATGAGAACTTAACATTCCCTGCAAGAACTGCACCGATATCCAACTTACCCCGGATCATATTCTCGAGTGCCCAGTCCTTACCCCATATGTTTTACCCCATATCGCTGGTTCAAAACTAAAACGACACATCTACAAACGTGTAATGCCTGTAGATGTGTCGTTTTAGTTTTGAAGCAGCGATATGTTTTACAACTGGGTATGGTGCCACTGGCTTCAGAACTTCGTGAGATCCTCTACAGAGATGATGTATTGGAGCTAGTGGATGCAGTTTTGAAGACACACGAGGCCATTTAATTGACCATGGACACGATAAAAAAAATGCACACCTAGTAAACAAAAAAACATATAATAGATGTGCATAATTCAACGATGAATTAGCTTAAATGTTTAAGGTGCCAAGAGTCAGAATTGGTGGTGCTGCGGAAAGTTAAAACAAAATTGCATAAACTGTAACATCTCACTGTAAACTGTTCCAGTAAAGTATAAGGAAAAATAGCCAATAGATGGTTCCATAGCTAGTGCCCACAAATTTTTAGATTTTTTTCTATCAACTTTTAAAAGCGTTACGCGCATGACGTTAAGCGTTACAGCATGGTTTAGAATAAAATAAAATGCTCAATTCTGTGACAATTTTTTCTGTTGAAAATCAGATGATGACTAAAAGTGCAATTACTCGTGAACTTTAGCTGTTATTTATTATTTTTGTTCATACAGTAAATTTGGAAGCTTTATAGCATCAGATTAATTTGACTAGGTAGCTAAAGCTAAATATGACTACGTCTCACGCTAAAAAGAATAAATAGCAACGGGAAAAAAGAAAAGAGATCACAGTGCCACTTTAGGATCGTGGGTTACGTGTGTTTATTAAAAGTAGAAAAGAAAAAAAATTAAAAAAGCAGTGTAAAAAAATTTTTTTTGATAACCATTTTAATGGCAACTCTTTTCTCACAAAATTCAGAACTATTTTAATCTTAGAGTAATTCTTTTTCTTGATTCTATAAAAAAATTTCTCTAATTAATACTTTTAAGTCTTAATTGGGAGGAGGCCTCTACTAAGCGCAATACGAAATCCGCTTATTTTCTGTCAAAATGATTCTATCTTATGATTCGTAGAATTAAAACTGTAAAAAAAAATAGGAGCTAGTTGTTGAATAATCTAAAAAAAAATTTAAATTATGATTATAAGTTAAATGAACTATAAATACTAAAAAGCTTATCTATTTTTAGCTTGTCAATTGTTAAAAATTATAGTTTTTCTATAGTAACTTGAGCTTTTGAAAATCATTGCGCTAGTTATAAAATTGCGAAATTACAATTCATTANTTTAAAAAAAATTTAAATTATGATTAAAAGTTAAATGAACTATAAATACTAAAAAGCTTATCTATTTTTAGCTTGTCAATTGTTAAAAATTATAGTTTTTCTATAGTAACTTGAGCTTTTGAAAATCATTGCGCTAGTTATAAAATTGCGAAATTACAATTCATTATAATAAAAATAATTTTTCTTTTCAATCCGATAATTTAAATTTAAACTTGTTACGTAGAAAATACGCAATGCCAATTTACTTAACTTTTGTTGAATAACACAATAGAATTACAAATAAAAGAATATTGATTGAATTGAATGTAGAGTTTTATGGCACAAGATCCAAAGGAGGATATACTGCGTCAAACAATTCAAATAAAAGAATTAAAAAAAAGGCATATTGAACTAGTTTTTAAGGCAATAATAATATTAGTGAAATGTCAAATAGGTGTAATTTAAGTATAAACCAATATTTATTTTCCGAGATTTCTATTTTTCAATGTATTCTTCTGGAAAATATTGTGCGAGATTCACCTCAAATCAAATATTGACAGATTCTCTGATATCTTTAATTTCGATTGCGGCTAACAATAGTCAATTGAGACGCCCACCTATGAGCCAACCATTCTTTATTGTTCATACATTTTTGTTGTAGTCAGGAAATATCAAATTAGCTTGTTCGCCACTTCTTTATTGTTTTGTTTTGATATCGTGTTCCAAAAATATCTATCATTTCATTGGATATTTTCAGACCACGAACCCTTTCATTGAAATTTAACTACGAATATACCTAAGTATACACTAGATGATACAATTGTTATTTATGAATTTAATACGTGGCTTCAGGAAAAGTGTCATTAATGGCTTTTAAAGCTCTTTTGAGTGCTATGATTTGGAAAATTAAAGATCGGGTTTAATCGGAAGGGGGTCAAGTGACTATAAAATATCGGATGAAATAAATAATTTAATATAGGGTCATATAGTATAGGCCGATAGGGTAATTTAATATAGGCCGATATCATCTTAATAGTTAAAATATTCGTAAAATCTAACAATTTTATAAAGAGCCAATATCGAAAATATATCGGCCCTTTTTATTCTTACTAAGTCAAGATTCATAAATATTGGTCCAATTAGGGGCCCAAGTCTTTTTGCTGCTAAAGATGTTTTAAAATCTTTTGGACAAATTAATTTTACCGTCTAAATTATTTTTTTAACAAAATTTAAGGTATTGTTTCTAAATAAACCTTCAAATGTAAAGAAAATGTGATAAGATAAAATGCAAAATTAATTGTATATTACATGTTAAAAATGGTTTTTAGAAGGTTGGTTGTTGGTTGGATTTTATTGGCGCAAGAGCCAGAAATGGCTATACTGCGCCAGGCACTAGGTTAAAATTTGGTCACAAGGTTAAACTAAGGTGTTATTTTTTAAAGCAGAGTAAATTGATCCTGAGTTATTCATACCTATCTTATTGTTTGCAATACAACAATATTTCTTGATCAACGATTGCCCGATTTTATTAACGATGTAAACGTCGACCCCCTCCCCCTAGATTTTTCAAAAATTTTATTTGAAAAGTTGATTTACAGTACCGAATATAAGATATTTTTGATTTCCATATGGGGTTTTGGCAAAAAACAAAAGAAGAAATAAATGCTTTGATATAAATTTTAAGACACTTCAATAAGCTAAGATTATTAGCTTAGCATTATATACAAGTACAGATTATGGTGGTTTTATTTAATGCAGTTTATATGTGTTCCATTCTGTTTGCCAGTTAGAATTTAATGAATTTATTACTTCGGTTTGAGCATCATGTCTTTAAACTGGCTTGTTAGAAAGATTGTGAGAGGAATTCGATTCTGAATCGGCAATCGATGAAGGGAAAGAAGAATAAAAAAACACGAATTTAGAAACAGAAACCTTGTTTGGCAGCATTAAAAATAACGATATTTTTCATTACATTTAAAAAGGCAAATTAAAATCCCATTGAATATCAAAATGTATTAAGCTATTACGGGCAAAACTTATGAAACAGAATCAATATATTAATCAAAAATAACTTTCTAGTTCGCATTGAAGAATACGTTTATATTAAAAGGAAAGCAATATTTCCAAGAGTCGGACTTTTTTTTTAAAAAAAAAGAAAGAAATACTCCTTTCAGATGTTTGAGTTTTTATTCTAAAATGCATCAAAATATTCCAAAAGTTCCGTATTCAATTTGAATTCTCTGCGTGGTAAGGATCACAAGTATGACGATTCGTATCAGGCGTTAAAAGATTTTTCAGCATGCGCGATTTTTATTCGAAGAAAAATTTGAAATATGTGCTGGGAAGACGGTTAAGTAAGAGCGTTTTGACTCCATAATACCGTATATTTGCAACAGTCAGCATAAATACAGATATATCTATAAAGTAAAGTGTTACATTCCATATCAGGGACCTCATGTTAAATTGAATAGGATTTTTTTTTTTTTTGGAACACCACCTTTATTATATATTATTAAATTCCTTTGCGAAAAGGAATCCATTATATCAGTGGCTCCGCGTAAGATTAGTCAATATCTCAAAATGTTAAAATTATTATTTATTTTAAGAAAAAAACCATATCGCAGTATATTAAGAAAACCATATTAGCGCTAGAGTCAGTTGTGGCTCCATCGCCTCTACAGTTTGTTTTCAAAATATTATTTATGTTATGAGTAAAGAGTATTTAAACCTATGTCCCTCAGGTTCAGAAAATGCGACAATGCGGATTATTTCCAATTAATAAAATCAATGATGATTTGATTGATGTAAATTTTTCGCTCCAGTCATGTCTGAGCTATACCACGCCTAAAACTAAGTTAAAATCTTAGTAACATAAACTAAGGTATTTTCTTTGAGTTTTTACTATTGTTGCAGTAAATCGAAATATGTTTAATTATTGGTAATTCGTTACAATTGGGTTCAAGTTTGAAATAATTGCTTTTATATTATTTGTACCTGATGTTTGTGCACGGACAGAGCATTACTATGTATTCCTTGAAAGCTTACTTTTGTTACTATTTCCAAAGTTAAATACTTCTATCGCTGGTAACACTATACTAAATCGAATAAAAAAATTTAATGAAGAACGGGGAAAAAAACATTTTCAAAATTTGATCAATCGTCGTCAAAATCAATCCGCATCTTGTTTAAATTCACAGAAATACCTTATTTTTCGAATAAATCAAAAGACAGTCGCTTTAATCACTAGTAGTAAAAGAAAACTATTTGACGCCATGGTGTATACTGTTACAAATTCGTTTCACATTGAACCATAATATCATTAAAATTTGATGCAACTTTAATACGGTGGCAAATTTAACTACATTATCCTTAAAGTTCCAGCAACTTAGCACGATATTAAGGTTCAATGTACCAATATTATTATTCAAAGTTGAACTGATATTTTCTCAGTTTTTACAGAGTATAAATGTAATGAGAGAAAATCTCTAACATAATAAAATTTGTAAAGTTAGTTCAATGAGGTTTAAAACTACGAACATTTCATACAGAGGAAAACTGTGTTGTGTATATATGGAAGAAACTTTTGAAAATAATTAGAAGGAATTGTTCTCAAAATGGTAAACTCTGTGCCTAATGTGTTAATGGGATTTGTTCCGAATATTACTATTTAAAGCGTCTAATATTGGTAAAGCAGTAAGCGTATCAAACAATGACGCTTAACGTTTTATAAAGAAAGGCATAATTAGGCTTTAGAATTTTGTAAAAATATTTTATTTCGTATGAGTTCAATTTAATTATTTTGTAAAACGCGAGTTTTATAGAGCGCAGTTCAAGTTTTCAATAAATGTAATAATAAATTTTCAAAAAGAGGTTGTATCATAACTAAGGCCCGGATTTTGATGACATTTGCATTTTTTGCATTTTTGGACATTTTTTGTCTTTTAGAGCATTTTTTTAGATTTATAGGGCATTTTTCTTTAAATTTTGGGGCGTATTTTGCATTTTAATGCATTTTTTAAAGTTTTTTGTTAATTTTTTCCAATTTTTATTATTTTTTATCAATTTTCATTATTACACTGGCTTCCAAACAATGAAGAAAATCTATAGGATATTAACAGGTGAAGCAAAATCTTTTCAAATTGAAGAAGAATTGTCAGTAAGTGAGACCGTCTTTTTCAAGTACGCACCTATAACATCAGTAGACGTTGAAAGAAGCTTCTGCAGGAATGAAAATTTACTTTCAGACAAGAGACGCTCGTTTACATTTCAAATTATCAAAAAACATTTAATAATCCAATGTAATTCTGATATTTAGTAATATTATGAGATGGAAGTTGTTATATCCATTAAAGTTTCTATACAAAATAAAAATATTTTGGTGTCAATATATTTTCCTTTTTTTGTTATTTTAGGATATAAAACATATTTTTCAAACTTTAATGAACGTAGAACAAGTATTGCATTGCTTTATATTTTTTAAATGACTCATAATAATTTTAAAGAGCAAAACATTTTTTTAATTCAATATTTTTACTTTATTTAAGGCATTTTTTGCGCAATTTTTGAATTTTTAAGGGCATTTTTTGCACTTTTTAAGGGCATTAGTTGAGACTTTTTAGGTCATCAAAATCCGGGCTCTAATCATAACTAAGGTTAGAGCTAAAGACATTTTTTCATGTTACACTAATACTAAATTATTCTTTTTGCAGGATGTATATTTTGTGACAGCCTACTGATGTGCGAGGTACAATGAAAGCCAGGACTCCAACTTCCACTACAAATCACATCTATTTATGCCATTTTATGTCCATTTGATTTATTTTGTTATTTCAAGAACTATCTTTTATTTTATTTCAATACAATGGTGCGAGAGTTAACAAGTATAATGATAACCCCAAATAAATTAGAGAACTACCCTATGACTATTTCAGTACTTGTAAAAATACATTTTATTTCTGTATTTTTAACATATGTAAACTTATGAATGTGTACGTGTGCATATTATGTGTTCTGTATGAGCTTCTTGTTGCATTTTTGTTACACGCTGTACAGATGTATTATTGCTGTTATATTATCAACTACTTATAAAATTTAGTTGCTAATTGTGACACTCATAACGTCGAAATGGTAGACAAAAATAAATTTGTTTCATTTTCCCTTGATTCCATACGAATTCAGAAGAAACCAAGAATTTAAATATTCATCATAATTTTTATTGCTGTTATGTTATGAATTTCGTAAATTAAGTTGCTAAATGTGACACTCCTAAACTCTAAATGGTAGACACCAATTTATTTATTTCTCCCGCCCTCTTTAATTCCATACTAGTTCGAAAGAAATGCATTTTTTATGTTTTTCCTGCTTCATAGTTAACACCAATAAAACTTAGTTGCTACGTGTAACGCTAATAACGTCACAAATATAAGTTTAATTTTTTTTCTTGTTCCTTACGAATTCTCAAGACATCAGATTTTTAAATGTTCTTCTACTATTGTTGTTTTAATGTTGTTATATTATGATTTACATATAAAATTTAGTTGCCAATGTGACACTCATAATGTCAGAAATGGTAGATACAAATAAATTTGTTTCATTTTTCCTTGATTTCATACGAATGTAAAAAAAAAAAAATTCAAAGCAATCGTTTCATCTTTACGTCAGTTTAAGAATATAAGTGTAATAATAAAAAATTAACCACAAAAAAACTTTATTTAAAATTTAAAAAAATTTTTTTTAAAAAAAAAGGCATTTTTAAAAAAGGGCTAATTCATGAAGAAGTCATAATTTTGAATTCATACTCAGAGTTTGAGTTTTATGCGAATTCAAAAGAAATCTAAATATAAAAATCCTTTGATTTTAGTTGTACTTGTATGTAGAATACAGTGAGCAGTGTTTCGACAAAATTTAACTGAAAACTATTCAGATAATTTGAAATTATTAGCACATACAACTTTGAAACAATGTTGGGACACAATTACATTTGAAGAATTTAAACCACTATAGAGTAAATTGACTTAGATTTTTTTTTAAAAATTAGTTTAAGAAAATCAATCAAGTTTCAAATATTATTTTCATTTTTATTTTGATTATAGTACACTTGCCAATATTAAAATTCATGGTAAGATTATTAAACAACATTTGTTATGCATTGAAGAGATTTACAACCACTTTACTTAACTATTATATCTCAACCTTTGAAAAAAAAAGTTCACTTAAGCATTATCCAGAACAATCCACAGGGCAGAACGACCTCAGACGAATTTTTCACAATTATTCAAATAACAAAGAAATTTCAAGAGAAATGCGTTTTACTTTTGTTTACTTTACATTGTTTATTAAAGTAATTTTTTATGAACGAATAGTCTTCTAACGTTCAAGAAAAAAATCCTTTATAAAAAAAAAAGCCCAAGTACAGTATGGTATTGTACCTTAGCTAACACTGATTTGGAAATCTTTTTTCCAAAACTAGTTAGTTGATTGTATTCGGCAATTGGTGCAATTAAAACTTATTTTTCGTGTAGTCAGTATTAAAAAAGGAAGAAAAAAACAAGTTAATAAACGTAAATACCAAAGAATATATTAGTGGAATATTTCAAAATTTAACAGCTTTACTAAAAACATGAAAATATTTACAGTAGCGATTTAATCCACAGGGTAATATATATTTGTGCTAACCGAACCTGTTGTGCATATCTTGGACAGATACAAGGTACAATACAGAGTACTGATCCAAAGTAGGTGCGTCAACACTCTCCTGAACTATTGGCGCAAGAGCCAATTGGGGCGGTAAAAATATACTTGAGAGTCCCCCTTGGCGAAATTCGCGACTTATGTTTGGCGCCATTCCTGTTTGAGCGGATCACAAAATATCGTCTGTGGTACCGGACAAGCGATGACATTTTTTTCTAAAGTCCCTTTTTATGACTGCCCACACACCTTCGATCTTATTGACCAGATGCAAAAGTAACCTTACCAGCCGGTATCCAACGTAGTACTAATGGACCTTTGAAATTACGTTACTGTTGAACATTTAAAAATAACGCTAAAATCTAAACCAATCAGAATCACGATTGGGTTTCAACATTGCCCAGCTTGACGATCAACCGCGATCACAACTTGCCGAGATTAAAGGGGCACCCTCAAATATAGTCTACCCATTGTGGCTATATCACACCTACAACTAGCTTTATAAATTACAATTTAAATGCAGTTGAAAAACTAGATTGATGAATAGAAACCTATGTCCTTGAGATAAAAGAAAATGTTGGAATGAGGATCATCTCACATTAATGAAAGTAATGATAGATTAAAGTTACAAATAAATGTTGTTTGAAATCTAAACTTTTTACACTGGACGGTCAATTTTAAAACTGAGCGCAACAATAATTATTACGACATCGACACATTTCATTTTTTTTTCAAAAAGGCAAGAAGGTGGCAGACGCCTACAAAGAGATGTGTGAAGTTCAGTTTTCACTGAAAGATAACCAACGCTCTGGTGTACTTCTAAAGATGGTGATGAAAAAATGAAAGTTTTTATTAAATGGAATCGTCAAATCGCTTATGGGCTGCAATAGTGGCACAACTCAAAATTTAACTTGAAGGTAATATTCGTTTTAGCAAATTAAAGCATTTCTTATGCATTTTCCGTAGCAATGAAAACTTTAAACCCACTTATCTCAAAACATGATTTTTTTTTAGTTGTGCCGCTATTGCAACCCATGAGCAATATAACTGAGCCAGTGATCGTAAAACAGTTAAATGTATCGCATACAACAATTGACAATCATATAAGACACCTTGGACTTAAAGCTCGATACTGGGTTGTTTTCGCTCGAATTATTAAAAAAAATCACGAAATTATTGGAGCTTGGTTAAGAAGTGATGTCGTGCCCTCCATGTAGCCCATACCTTACACCATCAGTTTATTATTGATTTCGAAGTTTACAAAACTTTTTAAATAGTAAAAATTTAGGTAATAACGATAATCTTAAATCGCACTTGGTTGGAGCTCGGAATCATGAAAGTACAAGAAAGATGATTGATTGAGTGTAGAGTTCAGTGGCACAATCTCCAAATGGGGAAATGCTGCGCCCAAACAATACGGTCAAACAGTTCAAAGCCTAAGTGCATACGAAATTTTAATTGTAGCACAATTATAACTGATAAAACAGTACTAGTAAGTGAATAAAACTAGATAAAAAGTACGAGTACAACATAAAACGCGTTAAGTAAAATGGTACGAAGGTGATAAGATGTCTATAAAAGTGTATAAAATTGTAGATGTGTTAAAAGATTTATATACAGTTAAAAATACCAATAGCACGCAAATACGCAAAAATGTTAGGATGATGAATGTCGTCCAACAAATCTTGCATGCATAAAATAGAACTCTTAAACAATGTTAAATGATGTTTGTTAAAACAAGGACACGTTATTAAAATATAATGAATTGTGAAAGGAACGTTACAAGAAAGATGATAAAAGGTCATGGAACTTAATGGATTTTACTGTTCACTGTACAGTTAAGTTCATTTTTTGTGTAACAAAATTTAATTTTACTGAACACTAATTAAACAGAAATTACTTTTTTGCTAACCTAATATTTTAATTTTTGTTTCAGTTATAGTAAATATATCAAGTGATGCATATAACTTTGTCCACAAAGTTTTATAGAAAAACATTTAAAGTAATAATAATCACTGAAGACCGCAATCAAACTTAGAGTATTTTTCATAAAGAAGTATTTAGAATTCCATATTTCAAAGAAATCAATTTTAAAATATTATTTTTACTGTTATATTAAGCATCATTAAGCTGACCAGCTTCCCGGGAAAACTAAAAACTAGTATCCAAGTTTCTAAAAGATAACTCATAGCTTTTCCTTGACAATTATGCAAAAATATTTCTGTTAGAAAATCTCTGCCAAGGATTTCTATTTTCAAAATTTTTAAGATTGGAAAATAATGAGTAAAAAGTTTTCATACGTCATTTTGAAAACTTTACAACCAATTTTTTCATTTTCCCGAGACGCTGACAGCTTAGTTGCATAGCAGTAAATTTCATTAAAAGTGTTTATACAAAGTTTAAAAAAAAAACGAAAACAATTATTACATTAAGAACTTAGACATTATCAACCTATTCAACATTAGAAAAATTCTACTGAAAGTCCTAAATATATGCAAAATAAATTCAGAATTCTAAATTTTCATTGTTACTTTTAACTTTTTATAACTATAAATAATATATTCAATGTGCAAAACCGTGTTTTATAGATAATAATTTTTCTGAGTGATGTATAAAAATTTTTCCAATCATATTCAAAAGAAATATTGGCTAATTTTGTTTGTTATAGTTAAGCCCTAGGTTGAGCAATAAAAATTCCATTATCAAGGTATTTTCAAAAACATTTTAAAGATGCTTAAGGATATAGTAATGAAATTACTATATGAAATTAAATTTTCATTGCTACTTTTAACTTTTTATAACTATTAATAATATATTCGATGTGCAAAACCGTGTTTTATAGATAATTATTTTTCTGAGTGATCTATAAAAAACTTTTCGATCATATTCAAAATAAATATTGGCTAATTTTATTTGTTATAGTTAAGCCCTAAATAGGTTGAGCAATAAAAATTCCATTATCAAGGTATTTTTAAAAACATTTTAAAGATGCTTAAGGACATAGCAATGACAGTTTAAGATATCTTTTATTTAAAATACAGAAAAACCGACTTGTTATGCAAGTTGACTTTATAGCTAGAAGCCATGTTGACATAGGGCTGAAGACAGATAAAAGCATAGTTGGGGCAGAAAAAGGTGGCACAGCGTTATTTTGACAGACAGTCCTATCATATAAATAAATTGAAAAAAAAATTTATGTGCCATCAATAACACAGTACACTTGCGTCTTGTACCAAGATAAAAAATAAAAAAAGTTGGACATCAAACTAAAAAAAAAATGCAAATAATCTTTAATCTAATTTTTCAGTAGCTACAAACTTGTGTTATGCTCCATCTCAAAAGTTTAAGCAGAAGCAAAAAAAAATTTGATTTTTAAAAGCAACAATAGAATGTTAACAGACATTTTCATGCGATACAATTAAAACCAGGAAATAAATTGTTTGGTGAGAAATATTTATTTTATTATGATTTTGGT